CACACACACACACACACACACACACACACACACACACACCAGCCCCCCAGGGCCGAAACTGCTGACACTGTTCCTCCACTAGGATTTCTAGACAGAGCTCAATTTCCCAGCTGAAAACTAGTGTCTGTCATGCTTTCCCTTTGGTCCACAAGCACTCTGACCAGCCAGACCCTGCCCTGGCTGCAGGGCGCCCGGCCACGTTTCCCCTCTCGTGGGGGTGCCCATCCTAGTAGAGAGAGGCAGTGAGTACAGAAACGAAAGAAGGTCATTTCAAACCAGGGTAGACGTCATCCAAGGCCATAACAACAATGCAGCGGGCGTGAGCACGGGAGAGGAGCAGAGGGGCTCCGTGAGGTCATGTGGTTCCGGACGGTCATTTGGACTAGAGGGGACATGTGCACTGAAACCTGGTGGCACTCAAGAGCCGGACCTGCAGAAACCAGGAGGAAGGACAGTGTGGTTCTGTTAGAAGAAGGGACGGGCCAGATGATTGGACTCGCTTCTTCAGAAGTCCCTAGTAGGTAAACGGAGTTCCGAGTGTCAGAACAGGACAGCCTTGTGGGTGGACCCATGTGGCCGGTGAAGACAGCGGGACAGCACGTGAGTCCCAAAGTCCATGCTGTCCTTGGGGGTGGTGACGCTAAGGGAAAGACTGGCATTCTGGTGCCCCCAGCTGTAGGGCCAGCGCAGGGTCCTCCCCCAGGCCTCCATCTGGCCATCTTGCTTTGTGTGTCCGCAGCCTCCAGGACGTTGCAATTCTCTTCAACATCATCATCGTTTGCCTCATGTTCTTCAACACCTTCGTCTTCCAGGCAGGGCTGGTCAACCTCCTGTTCCACAAGTTCAAAGGCACCATCCTCCTGACAGTGGTGTACTTCGCCCTCAGCATCTCCCTTCACATCTGGGTGATGGTAAACGTGCTGCTCTGCGGGCCCAGCCCCCTGCCCCTGAGACCCCAGCAGAACATAACCCACCCTACGGGATACCCCACTCTTTCGCCTCACACGGAAGCCCAGCTAGGAAACAGGGGAAGGCAGGTGGTTCGGGCACGGACAATCTCATGAGGCCGTTTTTGCCCAACACTGTGTGCTGAAGGACAGGCAGCTTGGCCCAAGAGGCGAGGCCACATCTTGAGCATGCAGCCTGCCATTGCCCCTCCTGATGCTAACACAGGAAGCTGAATCTGTTTCATTAGCTGTGACGTGGCCAGTGCTTGGAGCCTGCTGCTGCCTCGTCCCCTGCCCTTACATTGGGAGGGCCAGCCTTCACTCTAACATAGGCCTCCGGTCAGAGCCAGCTTTTCCTGGTGGCGGTGTCTTCTGCTTCACAAAGTCTTCCTTCTCTCTGGGCTTCTCCTCTGTCTCATGAGCTCATTTTGACGGAACACCCCAAATGGCCAGGCCTTCAAGCCTAGTTGCCTTTTTTCTGAAGCCCCCGTTCTAGCCCTGAGCAGGACTCCACGGGAAAAGTCAAGCCCAGAGGGAGCCTGTGCTGGGTTTCGGCTTCCTGGAGCCCACACAGGCCCTGGCTCTGAGCCCTGGGGCCGGTAATCTCATCAGCCCCAGAGGGCACGGAGCCTTATCTGACAGGAGCTGGGCCGGAGATTTTTGAGGCAGAAATGAGAGTCCTTTCTCCTTGACCCTGGCTGTGGAATGAAAAGGGATAGGTTGCTTGGTTGCAACTTCCTCTTCCCTCCGGGTCAGAAAGATTCTCTCGGCTGCTGCAAAAGAGCTGGGTTCTCCTTTGAGGGGCATTCCTTGGGTTGTGAAAACAAAGGCGGGGAGATTCGTGTGGTTTTAAACCAAGTAGGAGGATCTCCTTTCTACTCCTGTAAACAGTTACAGTCTCAGAAACGCACAGGGACAGTTCTGCACTGTCCCGTTGAGTCGCTGTGAGTTGGCACGGACTCCATCCATGCCAATGAGTCTGGTTTGGTTTGGAGCGGGAGCTCTGCCTATAACCACACTGGAGATGCCTGGGTCTCATCTGGGAGTCTGACAAGGGGTCAGCAGTTAGAACCCACCAGCCACTCCCTGGGAGAAAGAGGAGGCTGTCTACTCCCAGGAAGATTTGCAATCTCAGAAATCCACAGGGACCTTTAACTTTGCCATACAGGGCTGCTGTGAGTCATGGTCCACTCGCTGGCCTTGAGTCAAGGAGCTCTGGTGGCACCGTGGGTTATGACGGGTGCTGCTAACCACAAGGTCAGCAGTTTGAAACCACCAAAAATGCGTGGGCAAAAGATGAGGCCCTCTACCCCCATAAAGATGGACAGTCTCACAGATCCGCCATTCCACACTGTCCTGTGGGGTTGCTCAGAGTTGGAAACTACTCGATGGCCAGGAGGGTCTCCTCTGGCCTTTGACCTTTCTTGTCTCCTCTCTCCCCTTCAGAACTTACGCTGGAAAAACTCCAACCGCTTCGTCTGGACCGATGGACTGCAAACACTGTTTGTGTTTCAGAGACTAGGTAAGGGGCTGACCTAGCTCAGCGAACCTTGAGGGCTGAGGCTGGGTGGTTGGGAGACAGCCCTGCCAACACTGATGCTCCCCTGCAGGAGATAGTGGGGAATCACGGGACTCTCTCTCTTAACCTGGAAAGCCTACGCAGGGCCCCCTGAGACGTGCTTTCTGCATGTCTCCTCAGCGGCTGTCCTGTACTGTTACTTCTACAAGCGGACAGCTGTGCGTCTGGGGGACCCTCGCTTCTACCAGGACTCGCTCTGGCTGCGTAAGGAGTTCCTGCAAGGTCGAAGGTGACCTCTTCAGATCCCTGGAATGGCGCTGTTCCTTCCTGGTGCTGCTCCCAAGGGGAGGTTGCCCTCCTTGGACGCGTGCAGGCCTGTGTGGCCAGCCTCCCCTCTTGCATATTCAAGTGTTCGAGTCCCTCCTGCCTACCTCAGTCCCGTGCCCCACCCTCTCCTGCTCCACCCCTTCATTATCTTCTCAGAACCTCTGACTTCTGGGAGCTCTGTGGCTGTCCTTTTGTGTGTGTGGCACAGGAGAACCTCCCGGGCCTGCTTTCCATGCACCACACGCACTCATGGCTGAATGGGCCCAGAGGGAGGCCCCTGGGCGCCTGAGTGCCCACACCTCCGACTCTTAGATTGATTCCCAAGATACTTCCCCCCAACACACACACATTTCCTAAATAGGGAATAAATGGATTTTTCCCCTACCAAGGATGGAGTATGTCTTGTGCATATCTTGTTAGATTATGTGCGCCAGAGCTTCACTTCAGCATCTACAGTGGGGCGAGTGGGCCACAAACCAAGTACAGCTCTGTGTTGAGAGAGGGCCATGCTTTCTGAGGTCAAGGTGTTTTTGAGACATCCAGGTGTGGACAGCCCAGTGCTGCTCCCCCCGCCCAGCTGTGTGCTTCTTCAACTCATCCCCATCAGACGCCAAAGCTGAAAACTTTATTCACCACCATCCAGTTAGAGCCGACACTGCCCCTGTACAATTTTGAGAGTGTTCCTCTTGACAAGAGCAGAAAGCCTCATCTTTCTCCCACAGAGCAACTGGTGAATTTGAACTGCTGACCTTGTGGTTAGCAGCCCAACACCTTACCACAGCACCACCACAACTCACTTCCCTCCAGTGGCTTCCAGCTCACAGCAACCCTATAGCACAGGGTAGAACCACTTTTTACGGAAATAGAAAGGCTTATCTTTCTCTGACACTGGGGCGCTCAGAAAAGTAAAACTGTGAGGTTTTAAAAGGCACCAACCCTGAGTATTGGCTTTCTATTGCCAGAAGAAGAGTACAGCTCGGGGCTCTGAGTCTGCAGTTCAGTTGGTCCTGCAGGTGCTGGTGATGTCAGCTGGGCTTGCTCATGAGGCTGTGGGGGCTCTGAGGAGCTGCGTCAGGATCACATGCCTTGGTCTCCCCCAGCGGTTGGTGGTCGCCGCTGCAATGACTGTGTCTCAGCTGACCGGCGCGGCTTCCCCTGGCAGTAGCGGAGGGGTGTTGGGGACATGCCTCCTCCAAGCCTCTGCTGGCTGAGTCCAGAGGCAGTGTGGGCGAGATGGAGATTCAGGGAGAGGTGCAAATTGGGAAATGAATTCAACTCAACGGTCAGCCCAGTTCCTTCTGTTGTACATAGGGTGGCTGGGTCAGACCCAACCGGACAGCACCCATCACCACCACCCTATAGTTCTATGGAACGTGCTGTTCAGACTAGCGTTAGGGCAGGGCTTGGCACCCTGACTTCAGGCTTTGCAGGTCAGTTTCTGTTGTGACCATTCGACCTTGCCATTGTTGGGCAAAAGCGGCTATCATCATTCGAGAACTGTATAACCGAGACCTATATGCCAACTTCCTGGCCACGCTTACCAGTGGCTACCTCGGTTCATCGTACTGTAACCCGCGGGAGCGAGGGACCCGCAGGGCCTCCCTGCGCTTCCTCTCGCGCGGTCTAGAACGGAACTCCGCCCTCCAGCGCTTGCAGTCGGCGATCCTCCTGGCGCACGCGCGGCCCGCCCCGCCCCAGGCAACCATAGAGTGCGGAGGGCGGGCAGAGGCGCCAGCCCGGCCGCTCTGGCCCTCGCTTCCGGCTGAGCCTCGCTGCTCCGGGAGCGGCTTTTACCGCTTACATCGTTTCCATGGGGACTGAAGATGGCACCGCGAGGTGAGATCCCGGAGGTGTGTGAGTCGCTGTTCCCTTGTCCCGACTGTCCCCCGGTCCTATCCCCGTCTCCCAGAGCTCGACCTTCTAGAATGTTAGGGGCGTCGCTCCTCATAGGTCCAAGGGGGGCTCTCCCAGGCCGGGTTTCATGTCCTTGGTGCTTCTCTGTGGGACTTGGAAAAGGGCCGTGCTGGTCTGTGCGCCCCCATTCCTCCCCGGGAATAGTAACGGGGTTCGATCTTAGAGGGATCGTAGAGCTGTAACACTTTCCGAACATTCGTGATTTCCACTCCCGGAACCAACAGTTGCGTTTGGCGGAGATTCCGGGAGAGAAGGGGGTGTAGGAAGCGCCCGCCCACCCCGACCCTGTTCCCCGCCAGTCCCCAGTGGCCCCGCACTTCCCACTCGCAGGGACCTGGTGTTCATTCCCTGGAAGACCCGGAGCCTCGTACGGAACAGAGATTGAGCTGTTCCGAGCTCATCCGCTTCTGCCCCTCTTTCAGATAAACGCTTGTCCTCCACGACCATGGAAATCCTCTTCTTTCTGAACGGCTGGTATTACGCTACCTACTTCCTGCTGGAACTCTTCCTATTTCTGTATAAAGGTAACACTTGGGGCCAGACCACCCCAGCCCCAACATCCCTTTCCCACTTCTGCCCAGAGCACCCTCCCAAACAAGCACCTCCTGGCTGCTCATGGTCCCGCCCCTCTAGGGCCACCCCCTGAGAAAGATCCAGGGGGGCGGGGGCCAGCCCCTCCGGCGGAATTTCTTAGTTTGGGAAATGTGGGACTTCTCCAAGGCGGCCCAACTTCCCCCTCTCCCCAATTCCACACGAAGGTCACTAGCGACTCCCAGGGGAAAGAGCCAGCAGCTGCCTGTGGCGCCTGGCACCCTCAGATCCTGCTGCACAGTACCTTCTGCAGTTTGAATTTGGAGTAAAACCCTGAATTCCTCCGCCAGACCCCGATTCCCACGAAGTGCTTGTATCCCCTGCCACTGTAATAGTGCTTCCATCACCAACTAGTTCACGGAAAGCCAACCAGACTCCTAGTCTGTACTCTGCTGTCCGGGAGTTGTGGTGGGTGCTACTGGTCTTGTGTAAAAGCTCTGGCCTTCTGTTGGCAGGCCTCCTACTCCCCTACCCAACAGCCAACCTAGTTTTGGATGTGGTGATGCTCCTGCTGTATCTCGGGATTGAAGTTATCCGGCTGTTCTTCGGTAAGTATGGTCCAGAGAATATTTCCATTCCCCAGGAGACGACCTGGTTGTGCTCCCGATCAGAGGCTGGATCTGGAGCGGGTATCCCATTTCTCCCTCGCTAGCATTTCAAACTGCCTCCTGTTTGGGGTCAAGAGTTGCCTGTCTGGCTCCGTGGGGGTTAGAGCTTGGTGGTAGTCTGAGGTATTAAATTATTCCCCGACTGGCTCACTATGACAGAGGGGCCGGGCTCCTCTTTCTGGTGGGCCTTGGGAGAACAGAGTCCTTCGTGATGCCATGTCCAGGGCAGTATATGTCACAGATCATGCTAAGTAAGAGACCCCTCTCTGCCTCTCTGAAGAAGGATCAAGTTAGGACAAGTTTTATGACCCCCAAACTCTCTCATTCCCCACCCAACACATAAACCGAGAGGGGGGGAAAAAAAACAACAACAAAAACCTTGTAGTACATCTGGCAACGATCAAGAATGTTTCTGTCAATCACTAAAGGAAAGACTAAGCCATTGTAAAAGCACTGAAAGGGCAGTGCCACTAAGAACAGTTAGAGATGGTCGATAAGCACATGACAGGACACCCGGGCTCACTAATAAGAAGCGAACAGACAACAAGGTAGCATTGCCCTTCCCTCAGATTGGCAAAGAATAAAAGGTTGCTAGTACCCAGCTGTAGAGAGGGTGTGGGATACAAGTAGTTGCACACTTTTGTGGGAACAGAGATTAGTACACTTATTGGGAATAGTGACCGCTGTATCAAAACTCATAGTCTTAAATTTTGCATCTTACGCTCATTGAATTAAAAGACAGCCCCAAAGCCCACTCTTCCACAGCTAGGCAGAGACCTAGCTCTGAGAGCATTTACTGCCACATATTTCATAGCAACAGAACATTAGAAAGACCCTAAAGAAAATCAATCGAGGATTAGTTAGCTAAACGATGCTACTGGTTGAGTGGAATTGCACAGCGCCATTAAGACAAGAATGAGGTCGTTAGGTGGATGGAAAGAGACTAACTTACGTTAGAGGGGTGTGTGTGAAGTTGCCAACGGTATGTACAATATGATTCTGTATTTCTAATAATAGCAATGTACGAGAATGGGCATGCAGAACACTCTCCATTGATCTGTAATGCCGCCTGTCTCCAGGGGCCTTCACAGTCTGCAGTTTCTAACATCAACTCCACACTCATTGCCATCAAGTCGATGGTGACTCAGCGACCCTACAGGACAGGGTGTAATTCCCCTTTGGGGTTTCCGAGACTAACACTGTATGAGAATGCAAAGCCTTGTTTGTCTGGTGGTTTCGAACTGCTGACCTGTGGTTAGTAGTCCAATGCACAACCACTTCGCCATCAGGGCTCCTCCTTTGCCATATTTGCTTTTGGTTACTTAAGGCATAGGTTCCCCAACTTAATTGGCCTACCACCCCCTTTTCAATTTTATTTTACTTAATGCCACCTTAGCCATGAGCAATGTTTGTACTGTATATATAGCCCATCACGCAGGAAAAAGTACAGGCCCCTACATGTTTCCAGCACACCCCCTGGCCAGGGGGCAATATCGGTCCACTTTGGGAAAGGCTGATTTAAAGAACGATTTCCCCCTAAGATTGCCTTGCCCCTCCTGTGGGAGCCAACCTGGAAGCAGGGACTTCTGGAGGGGAGGATTCCCACCCTGTTACTCCCCCAAAGCCTCTCATGCAACGCAGCAGGACCCCACTTCTAAATATCCATGTCCCCATCCTGGTTCAGCCTTCTCTGCCTTGCTGGGCCATCACACCCCAACGGGCCAGGGAAAGCAACCCGCCTGGCGGTAACCCTGGGGGCTGTCTCCCACAGGTACAAAGGGAAACCTCTGCCAACGAAAGATGCCCCTCGGCATTAGCGTGGCTTTGACCTTCCCATCCGCCATGATGGCCGCCTACTACCTGCTGCTGCAGACCTACGTGCTCCGCCTGGAAGCCATCATGAATGGCATCCTGCTCCTCTTCTGTGGCTCAGAGCTGCTGCTCGAGGCGCTCACCCTGGCCACTTTCTCCAGGTACTTCAGCTGTTCCTGGGCCTCTGCTGTCCGGTGGCACTGCTGGGGAGCCCTCTCCCGGCCCCGACCGCCCGCAGGTCTAGAAGGCTTCCCAGGGAAAAAGGGTTTTCTCACCTAGTTCCCTGCCTCGGGGAGCAGTTTGTGTTCTTGGGGACCATATCTATAGACTACTGAACCAAATTTAGATCTGGACTATAGAACTGGTTGGGCCAGTTGTTTTTCACCGGCCTTTTAACATTCTCTCTCTCTCTGCCATCAGTATGGACAGGATTTGAAGCACAAACGTGTCAGCCAGCAGTCCACCCTGGCTTGTGGTTCTGGAGCCACCCCAGTGGAAATTGGTGGCTTTCATTGCCCTGGGAGCGGTTGGTTGCAGCTTTCCCTCAGGAGAGACGGTGTGGCAGCAAACCCAGCACCAAGCCCCAGCAGACTGGTACACTCCCGCACAGGGAGAGGCAAGGGACCGCCCCCAGCCTCGGCCCTTCTCAGAGCCAGTTCTCTGCTGACCTCAAGTTCTCCTCTCTGTCCACCGTGGCCGCAGTATCCGTGGGTACCATCTAAGCTTTGCAGGCTGCCGGAACCTGGGCCGCTACTGGCTGTGGGTGCTGGGCCACCCCCGTTCCACGAGCCTGGAGCCCCAGGGTGCAGCCCAGAACGGCGAAGCCGCTCCAGAGTTTTTTTTTGGTAGCCGAGTGTGTTATTTTCTACTCCCATCATGAAACAACAGCGATTTTATAATAAATGTGTATTTTCTGTTGTGGGGGCTGTAGCCTTTTCCTTACAGCACTGTTTCTAGCATTTCATCCATGCCGAGGGCCAGTGGGGATAGGGTCAGCACTCTGTCCCCAAACTGTGGCTGGTTATACTGTGCGGTCACTAATGGGTAGCAGAGGTCCCTTGATTCCCCAAGCTGCAGACTGAACTCGCCCCCGAACACACGGTTCACTGCTGCGTCTTCTCCGGGTCTGTCTCAGCTTCCAGCCCCCACCCCCCACCCCACCCACGGCCCCCACACTAGTATCTGCCTTTCATTCTCTGACAAGTAAACACCAGCTTCCTTGCAAGGTGGGATTTATATAACTGGAAGCAGCTTCCAGGAATGTTGACAATTTTGTTATAAATGAGCATTTCTTTAAAATGTTCAAGTTGACACATATAGGGGCCAGGAATTCAGCACTTCCTTCTGGAGGCACAATTCACCCCTCAGCACCGTGAATGGAATGCCTGAAGTCCCCGGCTTAGGGTCACCAACAGGCAACTCTCTCGGACGCCTCCATTGGTGGCAATAAGCACCACCTACACTACTGCCCCAGTGAAGTTCTTCCAGGTTCCAGGACAGCATTTACTGTTTAAAGCACGGCAGGAATAAAAGACGCAGTTGTTGGGACAGGGCCCTGTCCTACGTTCGGGACTGGCTGTACTCAGAGTGCCTGCAGCAGCCTTCTTTACGCCACACCATGATCCCCAGACAGACGGGAACTGCTCAGGTCGTTAGGGATAGATGGTGTGAGTGTACCCGGCTTAGGGAGGGAGGGAGGGGTTAGAACTCAGAGGTAACCCAATGTTCATCATTGGCTATACCATGGCCCTGCCTAGATCAAAGCAAAGACTAGATTTGCTTGTCTGAACGAGCACCCTTCAGCCTTTAACTTACACACACCATCAGGGGCATCAAACTGGATGGCCAGGCACCAGCAGGACCGAGCCAGTCCGGGACATGAACTGTGGACAAAGCCGCAGCAACCATGGGCCCTGACGCACTCCTGGCACGCAGGCCTCGCCCTTAAGTGTCCCACCATGGTACACCCTCTCTCCCAGTCAAGGTCATGTATACCCCACACACACTGCACCGTCTGCTCCTTGGCTCAGCTTTTAGTCGTTTGTTCACCTGGCTCTTTAGAAAGCCCCCCCAATTTTCCGGGGGGAAGATGCCAGAAAGCACCTGGCTAAGCTTGCTAATCAGTACTTGCTGGGTTTAGTCACTCCGTTCACGGAACATGCTCATCCCGAGAGGGCATACCCCAAGTGGACGCAGGCCGATGGGGAAGCCAGGCACTAGCCCCTCAGGTCTTCAAGCCTCTTGCACTTGGTGCCCCGAGCTGGCCAAGGTAGGAACCTGCCTCTGAACACTGAAGGGAGGGAAAGACGTTTTTTCCAACTAGGCGATTTAGATAGCTGAAGAAAAAAACGCAAAACCCTCTGGGGTGCCTCCAAAGGCTTGCTGCAAGCAGCTAGTGGTACCCCCCAGTCCCCAGCCCTTGGGCTTAGGGCCGTCACCTGGCCTCTGGGTCAATCCAGGCACCACACCCGCTGCCATAGGGTTGAATCCCGCCTTGCCTCATCAAATCTACTGAATGCAGAATCCATACAATAGCTCACTCCCTGTTTATTTTAAAATATTGTTACAAAAGGAAAAAAATACAATGCAGTATAAAAGATTGACAGCGTCATCAAGTTTATTACACAATTTTCAACCTATTAGAAAGACAAATCACCGACAACGGGGCGGGGCCCTGGCCTTTTTGAGGGTGGGGGATTTTTTTTTTCCTTTTCCTTTTCCCTTTTGCTATCAGGAAATAAAACTAAAAATCGTGTCATGAGTAAAAACGAAACAAAACAATGGGGAGAAAAATTCTCCAGGTAAACAGCTGAGACTATCTTTTCTCCTTACACCGTCCCATGCTTGGTTCTCTCTACGCTTTAAAAAGACGCCCCAGCTGCTCTCGAGGATAAGCACAGCCGGGGGGCGCCGAGTCCCGAGGAGGAGGCAGAGTGGGGTCCAGGAACAGGGAAAAGAGCTCCCAGCTCCAGTCCTGGGGCCGCCCTTGGCAGCCAACTGAGGGCCGGGATGGAGGACGGGCTCTGGTTTGGTCTCCAGTGAGCCTTCGTGCCTCGCTCGGCTGGGCCTCAGGTAAAAGTCGGTGCCCTCACAGGCAGCAGCAGCAGCAGCCACGCCCGCAATTCATATACTAAGGGGAAAGCCACTCCCTCCTCCCTGGGCCCACTTCCGCCTGCTCCTCCGCAGAGGCAGGAAGTACTCAGGCCCAAAGGTGAACAGACACAGGCCATGCGACTTGCCTTGCCTCCCCAGGCAGGGCCGTTCCTCAGCGAGTGATGGCCTGTCCCTGGGGACGCAAGCTCATGCTGACCTGGAGCTTGGTAAGGAAAAGCTATAAAGTGGGCTGCATCCTGCCCACTGGCCTCCTCCCCCTGCCTGCTACTCAAGGGCCCTTTGTGGCAGGCGGGGGGCCCAATGCTCTCACCACCCAATGGCAGTACCTTCCTTTAAAACAAGGAAGCCGCCTTTGGAGGGGAAGGTCTCCGTGTGTGAAATGGAAAAGCCCCATGGAAAGGAAGGGAAGGGGGCCCCCCAGGGGAGCTGCCAACTGCAAGGGGCCACCACAGCGCTGGCACAACTCGCAGCAGTGCCGGGGAGGCCCCTTGTGGCAAGCACGCATCCTGGCAGACCGTCTAAGCATCGGAGGTGGGCCAGGTGGCAGGGAGCGGAAAGCAGGTCAGGGAAAGAAACCGTCACTATCTGAGTGGGAAAAGCAAGACCATACGAGGCTGTTACGCTGTTTGTAGGATATCTGTCCGCGTGGTCCCTCATGGGGCCAGGAGGAAAGCGTTAAACAAAGAAGTGGCATGTTAGCAAGGGATCTGGACCTGGACCCTCCTGGCCCCATCAAACCAAGTGCTAAAGGGCAGGGCCCTGGGCCTCTTGCACCCCCAGTCCCCTCCCCACTGGACTGCTCCCGGAGAAGAGAGTGCCTCATGGCCTTGACCAAGTAGGGGCCTGGATATGCTGTTCCCTTGCTGTCTGCCACCCCTCCCAAGCACCCCGCGTCTCTGGTCTTCCCCTGGCCGGCAGGTGCCGAGGGGCTAGCAAGGATGCTGAGTGCTCTTCTTCAGTCCTGAGGGGCAGAGGGCACTCAAGCCCGGGGGGGTGGGGGGTCTGCAGGGAGGCAGGGGCTTGGAAGGAGAGGAAGGGGTAGAGCGGCCTCCATCCTTAGTCCTGATCAAGGTGAGGAGATGCAAGTCCATTAAAAAAAATCTGCTTCCAACAGCCGCCTGCAACGAGAACACCGGGAGAGGGCATATGAGTGAGAGGCTGTGAGACACTGGCAGTTTCTAAAGGGACAGAGAGGGAAGCAGGGGGCCCGAGGGGTCCTGAACAGGTGTCAATCCATTCCCAGCCACGAGTGGCAAAGAAGAAACATGACGTTTCACACGAAGATCAAGGGGAAGTGTGACTGGCAAGGGACTGGAGAAGCACGGAAACCACCGCTATGCGGCACGGGTCGAGTTTAAATATGGTCCAGTCTGCTTCCTGCAACCCAAACCAACTCACGGCCATCGAGTGGATGCCGACTCACAGCCACCCGACAGGACGGAGAAGACCTGCCCCTGGGGGTGCTGAGACTCTAAGTCTTCTTGGGAGTAGAAAGCCCTGTATGTCTTCCTCAAGACAATTCGTGGTTCCAGACTGCTGACTCTGCAGATCACAGCCAACCTTGTAACCAGGGCACCCCCCTTTGTTCAGCACACAGGATGAAAACAACTGGCAAGGCGGCTGGCACAGGAAGAACGCCAGTGTGCGCGGCATCACATGAACTCGCCACACATACCACATCCCAGAGCCCAACCCTAGACAGACGCCTCCACGGACACAGCAAGCTCCTGAGTGCGCTTCCCTTTTCCAAGAGACCCGGTGAACGCAGATTCCAAGCAGCGTCGTGAGTGCACACACGTGCATGTGTGTGTGCATACATGCACACAGCCAGAAGAAAAAGCAGAGCAGGAAGAGAGCAGAGTTAGAGACTTGCCTGACAGTATGGGCCTGCGCTACCCAACATCTCCACCAAATTAGGTCCTGAGTGCCCTCAGCCCTGTTCTTCCTGCAAGAGAACCTGCTGGGCTGGCCTGGTCAGCCCCAAAGGGATCCCGGGTTAGATCCTTGTGCATGTGCTCTGGGACCGGAAACCCTGGAGGAGCTGGCCAGGAGGAAAAGGCAGCACCCGTCTGAGAGCCCGCTTCCGGGCCACCCTCAGCCCGCGGGCTTCTCGTAGTGCCCAGGTAGCAAGGCTTGGCTCCCTTTTCCACAAGGTAAAACGCCTTGTCAAGCTCACACAGTCAGGGCCTCTGACTCTCGGGCCAGTGTCCCAGTTGGGAAAGACTCTTTTCCATGAATGGGATGAGAAGGACTCTCGCAGAAAGACAATGTCCTAAAACGACAAAGCTGAGAACTAAACAAGTTGAGGCCTCAGATTATCCCAAACGGCGCTCAAACTCCACAGAATACACAGACATTGGACGATGTAGCAACAATGAAACATACAACTTTCCTCTAGTTCCTAAATGCTTCCTCTCCCCCCAACTATCATGACCCCAATTCTACCTTACAAATCTGGCTAGACCCAGAGGATGTTCACTGGTACAGATACGAACTGGAAACACAGGGAATCCAGGGTGGATGATCCCTTCAGGACCAGTGGTGTGAGTGGCGATACTGGGAGGGTGAAGGGAAGGTGGGTTGGAAAGGGGGAACCTATTAGAGGGATCTGCATGTGGCCTCCTCCCTGGGGGATGGACAACGGAAAAATGGGTGAAGAGAGACGTCGGACAGGGCAAGATATGACAAAATAATAATTTATAAATTATCAGGGGCTCGAGAGGGAGGGGGGAACGGGGAGGGAGGGGGAAAAATGAGGAGCTGATGCCAGGGGCTTAAGTGGAGAGGAAATGTTTTGAGAATGATGAGGGCAATGAATGTACAAATGTGCTTTACACAACTGATGTATGTATGGATTGCGATGAGTTGTATGAGCTCCTAATAAAACTATATAAAATACACAGCCTGGAAGAGATCAACTCTCTCTGGGAGCTGCCCCAACACAAAGAGACACACAGCGACAAGGACGCAGACAGGCTCCAAGCTCGGTGACTAGTCCAAAGCACAGGCGTCTGCAGTGGCCTCTGCCATCAAGGGCGGCCAAGACTACTGCTCCTGCTGTCTCTGCCCAGAACACACCCTCTACTCTTTAGGACCACCTGGCCACACAACACATACCCCACTCTCGTCTAACAGAGCGGTGGCTGCTGCACACAGTGCCGGAGTTCTGAGGCCCACAAACCACCTCCACACCCTAAGCCTCCAGAGTCACCACTGGGCAACTGTAAAAGGAATGAAGGGTCCTGTGTGCCAACGTTCCCGTCTAGTTCTTTTTCAGGACAACGCTAGACTAACCCACCCATCCATGCAAGGAGGCAAAGTGGGGAAGTGGCAGACCTGCCTCCGAGGCCCCGTCCCCATCGTTATAGGTCCACACCAGGACGTGCTGGGCCGCCCCCGCCCCTGGAAGAGACAGCCCCCTCTCCCAAGGGAAAACTCGATGCAGCAGGCCACCTAACGGGTCTCCTCCCCACAGTACTGGTGACTAGTAGGTCCCACCGACGATTCGATGAAGCTGTCAGCGCAAAGGCAGCAACTGCTCTGATGTGCCGTCCTAAGTTCCAGTTATGAACGAGCTTGTGGCCCCAGACACCCTAAGTCACGTTCTACACGGAGGCAGGAACACCTCCCTGGTCCTCATCTCAGCTAATCCCAAAGACACACTGTGGCCCACAGGCCTGGGGGCGGGGCCCGCTGTCTCACACATGTAAAGTGAAGTGCTGTGACGGTGACAGCGATGGGATCAAACCAGAGCGACCTGCTCCTGCTCACCCCTGCAAACAGGCTGAACTCAGTGGGCCCCGGCGATGTGGAGGCTGAGCGGTGAGTACCCCCCAAACCCACTCAAACTGCTGACTGTAAAGGAGCTATCGTGGACTTCAAGGATGTCAAGCACCCCGGAGCTTGCTGGGATAAACAGGAGGTGGGTAAAATAGGCTCGTAAATATTTCATAACCCCAGGCTATAAACCTACCCTCACCTTGGGCAGCCCCAAAATATTCACCAACAGTAGCCACTTGTTCGCTGGGAGGCTGTCACTAGGCACATCGCTGCAGAACCGTCAACTCCCGCATCATTCGGTAACCTCCGGGGACGCCCAGAAGATGGGGAGACTTTCTTTGCCCTTCCTCAGTCAGCCGCCTGTCTTATCGATCCCCACCCATCTAGAGCCGTGCACACACCACTGCTGCCCCAGGAGAACGAGCTGGATGTGACGCAGCCAAGGGGGATGCCCACGGACCTGTGAGCACAGAGCCACCTACCTGGGTCCTGCAGGACCCTTAGGAACCAGGTAGCCCACTTCAGTCGGCATCTGGCCCACCCTAAAGTTCCCCACAGACACCGAGCCAGCAGCTGCTCCTGCTGCCTCATTCTCAACACTGGCCCCCTGGGCTTCCGCTTCTGGCTGGGGTGCCGAGCTAGTGGGACATGGCAGGGAGGCTGAGGGGCCTGGCTGAGATTGAAAGGCAGGGCCCAGAGGCTCAAGAAGAGTGAGCCCTGCCCCCAGAGCGGAGCAGGAGCTCGGGGATCTGGCCAGGGTTCATGGCCACCTTAGCCAACTGCAGAGGTTAAAATGAGCACTCCCTACAGTATGCCTGCTGCCTTTGAGTTTTTAAATACAAAAACTTCCTTTCTTTGACAGGAACCACTCTCCACGTGTCTCCACAACTGTTAAAAGATCATTTCAGATCCCCTCCTCCTTCCTAAAGTACTCCTGCTTTAAAACTGCTACGAGCCCGCACGTCAAGTCATCAATGCTGTACAGGAAAAGCGGGCCCCAGGCCTTGTCTTTGGTCCTGGACAGTTTTCTTATTTGTTCACTTCTGTGTGGGAGAAGGGCAGGCGGGTAGGTGGGTTTCATATGTAGTGTGGATCCCTGCAATGGCTCACAGGACAGTCACGGGCCCACCGAGTGGCCTTTGGGCCATCTCCCTCCTGAGCATTCAGTTTTTACGGTTTCTCCACTGACGAACTGGGATCTGAGCTCCCCACCAGCTGTTGGAGGGGAGAAGGAGGAGGTTGTCTGCTCCCATAAAGATCTACAACCTCGCAAACCCCAGACAGGGGCGCTCTGAGTCAGAGGGCCTCTAAGGCGAGACCAGGGTCAAGCAGTCACAGAACACACAAAACACTTTCACCTGAGACCACCTGCAGGTGCCCGCAGCCGGCCCTGAGGGGGGCCCCCCTTCCCAGGCGCCCACCTTCCTCAGTGGTGCCGGTCCCGCTCTCGGTCCCGGTGCCGCTCGTGCTCCCGGCTCCTTTCCGGGAAGTAGTCATCATGCCGGTCTTCACTGTGCAGCAGGTCCCGGTGCCTCCTGCTGCTCTCCCGAGACCGGCTGGGCGACCTCTCCCGGGACCGGTGTCGTTTCCTGTGGGAAGGAGCCTTCAGTCTCACTCCAGGGGGCAGGCCACCCCCACCCACCCAAGCACTTGTCTAAGCGACTATGACCTATGACGCCACCACCTGTCCAGTGGGCATGGAAACGGCAGCTCTTTGAGAACCTATTCTCGTGTGGGGAAATACAGATAGCCACCCAGTGCGCCACCACACATCAGGCACCACGAGCCTCACCAGCCTGTTGCACCTGCTCTATGCGACAGGCCTGTGGAGCAAATACTACTATTGCTCCCTTTTAAATTAAAAACAAAAACAAAAACGAGGCTTCTAAAACTCAGGGACTTCCTGAAGTTCGTGCAGCTGGTTTGAGATTAAAGTCCACGCTAGAGAGAGGCCAAAGCCCAGGCTCCTCACTATCAGAGCGACTGGCCTCTTCCTCAATGAGCTCCCAGCCTCATCCCCCCACCCCCCCAGGTCTGACACATCACCAGACTCCTTTCCCGTCCCCATCAAGCCCTGAAAGCATGTGGCCCAGCGGGCAGTTCCCTCACCTGGACGAGCCCCCGCTGGCACCCACGCTGTAGGACTTGGCCTCAATGCCGTGGAGACAGTCCTTCAGAGAGGAGAGGAGGACCCGGCAACGCTCATCATTGGCAACTCGGGACTGTTTGATGACAGCGATGGCTGTGAGCAGCGTCTCGATTGCGTCACTGTAATCCCCTGTGGGGAAGGACCAAGCTCCTAAGAGGCAGCAGCACCAACTGACCAGCAGAGGCCAGGACACACACCACCGGGGACTAACTGACCCATAGAACCGGGGAAACGGTCTCGGCAGAAGCAGTGGGTATAAGCCCAGGGGGCACCTTTACACCAGGGGCCTGGGATCTGAAAGACGTTTCGTCACATCCTGTCCTGTCCTGCCAAGGGAAAGGGCAATGTGAAACAGTGTGTAGACTTCTTAGTAGGAACCTAACTGACACGTTCCTCCTCCTGCGTACAAGTCTCTCTGCCTAAGAGTGGTGCTTCAGTCCTGTTGTATTAAACTAACCCTGGAGACAACGCGACGGTCCCCCAGTAGGGACAGACTGCACTAAAAACCACTGCACACTGGTCCTAGCAAATGTCCTGCCCTGTTGACAAAGCAGAGAGAGGTTAAGTCTGTATGCATCTGCAGCACTAAGCACAGTACCCGGCAACAGTGATGGCCGAGTGCGTGACAGATGCTGCAGATCCGCATCATCCATGTCCGGTTATTGGGACTGAAGACGCAGGGGCAAAGCAGGATGCCACATTTTGGGTTTAAAAAAAACAACAACAAAAAACCCTCCAAATTATGAATGGGAAAAATAATGAGGCACAGCTAGTCAACTGGTGGTCCTTGGGCTAGGTGGAGTGCTAACCCCAAAGGTCAGCAGTTCAAACCCACCAGCCGCTCCTCGAGGGGCTGTCCCCTCTTCAACGGTGTAGAGCCCCGGACGCCCACAGGGGCAGTTCGACTCTGTCCATGGGTCGCTGAGTCAAAGTCAACTCGGTGGCCACGAGTGTGGTTTCAGTTTTGTGTAGAACTTTTATTTTTTTAACATTACATATCCCAATGTCTGAGTTCCTTTAAATAGGTATTTTCAACAAATGTTTTACTCTCATTCTGATCTCTAGATACACATGTACAACAGATACATGCAGAACAGAGCACAGTGCACATACCATTGCAAGATTTTAGAAACTATGTTGCCACCAAGAATTGGAGAGTGCTTTCATTTCCTAGTTCTGTCCTCAGGGGTAAGGGCCAGGAGCGAGTGCTGGCCTAGCTCAGGCCCAGGCTTTCTCTGGCTGAGGCAACAGCATTAAAGGCCCAAAGTGAGACCTGGCCAGCCTGGATCTGGATGGAAGCCTGGGGGAAGGGCAGCAGTAAATGGCATGCCGCCCTTCTGTGGTGGGCCTGAAGCAGCAGGACATTGGCTCCAGATGGGGCCTTTGTGCCCCATTTGTGGGGCCCTCGGGAAATATTCCTAGTTCAAGTAAAGAGAAGGGGTTCAACACCAGGGCACTGATGATTTCTCAGGGGAAAGGAGGGAGCAATGATGATTATTTTCAACTCTGAAGAGTTGATTTGTGATGATGAGCACCTACCTAATACTTATCACTTTACAAAAACTCAGTTGTCAGTGACGGTTTTCCGGCAGAAAAGAGGATAATGGAAGAGAACATGACCTCCTGTCATTGCCCTACCCTGTGGTTTCAAGTTTTACAGTCAGAGATGTACAGACCACACTTACAGCTAACTGATCAAGGTCAGGGTCAACTAATTTCTGAGGAGACCTGAAAGTTTACTCACCTTTACCTTTACAGCGCAGGTGGGACCCTCCCAGGAAAGAGGGGACTGAATACGGGAATATGGCCTACCCTGAAGCTTCTTGTATCCTCTTTAGTCAGCTGGTACCTAGGGCTCTCAGAACCATGGCTTCTGGTTCTGCCCACTTAAATGCTGAGAACAGGGCAGAAGTTAGCTATATGGGTTACGTCTTAAGAGGATGACCGATAGCTTTGCCTCTTTCTTAATACAGGCTTACGTGGAGGTCAGATGCTCTACCCAGACTGGTCTTGGTGAGCAAGAGTTCTAAAAACCCAAGACTTGTCCACACTCAGTACTGGACCACCACAGAAGTGAGGAGACCCCGGGCGGCATGAGGAAGTGAGTTTCACACCAAATACTGCAGCCAAGCAGCATTTGCTCACTGTAGTCTAGACCCCAAGATGAGGCAGTTCAGTAACTGATGCTCACAGCTCCAAGAGCCAAGACACCAGGCCCCATACCGTTCTCTCTTCACATGTTCCAATTGGGCCCAGGGTCATCCTGCCCAGGGGAACGGTGGAACACTGGGCCTACCACAGGCCGGTCAGCAAGGGTGGAGGGCATTACCTGCACTGGCTCCAGCCACTGCTTTGGAAATGGCACTGCTGGAAATGGCTCGGTTTCGCTTCATGATCTCTTCAAACTCAGCCTCACTCACATTGGAGGACGGAGGGCCCGACTCTCGGCTGCAAAGAGACCACGTCGTTCCTGCCTGGCCAGACCCCTGCCAGGAGGCCTGTACCTAAGGGCTGATGGTTCACGCCCCAGTGGCTCTGAGGGCAGGCCTGGCCAACAGCTCATGTACAGATGTGTCAAGATGACAGCTGAGACAGCCCTGGGAGTCGCTCTATATGGTCCCACAGTGAGTGGAGCCCAGCGGACGACAAACAGGTCTCACCATTTCCCTGTGCTTCACTGTTTTAAGGGTCCTTAGATTGTCCAGGGTCTGCCTTTGCTTCAGCGACAGGGTTCAGGCCACGGACACACACACACACACACACACACACACACACACACACACACAATGCTGGCACACACCAATGGCCCTGAAGATTCTGGAGTGCTCCTAAGAGCCACTTAAGACACTCCAGTTAATCAAGCTTCTTAGAAGGGGCCATGAATGGCAAGTAAAAACCTCAACCAGCAGCTGGCGAACTACCTCCCAGGATCCACACCAGGGGCCCACCCCAGCCCCAGTGTGAAAGCGGCAGCCAGGACGTACCTGCTGTGGTGGTTATAGGATGCAGAGGCCTTCATGTAAGTATCTGGTGGAGGCCCCACAGAGGCATTTGGTGGGGGAAAGAAGGCTGGATTGAGGTGCAGGGCAGGTGGGATGGCCCCCGGGGGAGGTACAGCCAGATGAGGAGGAATTCGAGGAGGGGGGGGCATAAGATGCTGGTAGTGGATGCCAGGAGGAGGAGGAGGGACCCCAAAGCTTGAGGAGAGAGGCGGTGGGGGTGGAATCGGGGGTGGGGGCAGACCCATCAGGGGGAGGGCTGAAGGAGGGCGGCTGAAGTAGGGCAGCACACTGGGGGGCTTATCCACGCGGGCGGATGAGGGCACGAGGTTCTCAGAGGGCGTGGCCCGGCCATCGGCAGAATCGCTCGACTCTCGGGAGTGGGCCCTTGGAGGGATTCCTAGGAGGTCAAACAGAGCTCCCATTACTGCCCCGACACCTGATGAGGCCCAGCTCCCCCCAGCAAGCCGGCAGACAGCAGCACCTGAGGAAGGAGGTAACACCAGCGACTGCCCTTTCTCTGGCCCCAGACCAAAACCAGCCAAAAGTGGCCCCTAACCTGTCTACATCCCACCATGAACCCCAGTTCAGAGTTGCTTCCCAACAGCCCAAAGGCAAGGAAGGGGCTCTTGGGGCCCAGCTGGACTCCAACAGACCTGTGGGCACTCCCTTCAGACCTACCACAATGCCATGTGCACGGGCTGGGAGCGTGACTTCCTCTGCCCACACACAAAACCTGGGAATGCACACCCACGAAGAGCAGAAGGCTGGAAAGCAAGCGAGAGGCAACGAAACCAGGGGTGGGCAGCTGAGAAGAGAGCTGCTCCCGGGAGCAGCTGGCCCACAGCCACAGCAAGGCTCTCAGCTAGAAGTCCTGCCTCCATAGCCAGGGTCCTCTCACTGCGCACAGGTGGCCAGTCTCTGCACCGACAGGCAGAGCCGGGAGTCCCACCCGCCTCACGGTCAGCACTTAACACATTCATCTCCAGGGGAAGCAGGCCTCTGGCTGGTCACCAAGTACACACGTTCCCTGGGCTCCACTGTTGGCCATTGGCCTGCACGGCGACGGAGGAACTCAGCCCCAGAAGGGGAGAGCAGAGCCGTGGACATCTCAGAGGGAGTGTGACTTGTTCGTCTACACAGGGTGGGGGTTCGGGTGGGAGAGGGTCCCACATGCAGACTCCTTTCCACTCAAGCTCCTGATTACAGCAGAAGCAGAGACCCCTGGGTTTCTTTGCTGCACGACATTGCCCATGCCTATCACTACCATGCCAGAATCCATGTCGACACATGGGGCCTACAGGACACAGCCCCAGAGCAGCCACGGACAACAAATCTTGGCAGGAGCAAAGATCCTCCACTTTCTCCTGCAGAGCAGCCAGGGGGCTTAAGGTCTGTGGCCAAACGTGTAACCCACTGCCCCCAGGACTCCTTGTGCCCACCCTAGCAGGGTCTTGCTGTTCGCTTTCCAGAAGTCACGCGCGCAGAGGTGAGCGGGTCTCTGAAAGCAAACCACCTTACCGGCTACCGTTCTCACATCTGCCAAGAGTGGTTTCGTATCTATGGCTACCAAGTCCCAAGACTAGCAACCATTTGTAAGCAAAAACATAGAGGTCATCAGCTCCACTCAACAGGGCCCAAGATCAGCAATGTGACAGAGCAGGAAACACCACTGGTCACCACCACGCTTTCCACTAGAAAAGGAACACATGGGAGCGTGGGGGAAGGCATGCTCCCCTCAACCGCGTCTCGCCCGGCAGGAAAGGGAGGTAAAGGTGGGACCGTGGGCTCTTAAACTGATGGGACTTGACAGGCCACAGAGGAAACTAAATTAGCATTGGAAAGTTCCTAGAGAAACCTGCCGGGTGCTAGCCCCAAGCTAAGGTAACATGAGGCAGCGGACAAACACCAAGCAGACCACAAGCTCTAGCAACTGAACACACATCCTTCCCTGGACAGGTGGAGAAGCCGAGCGACATTTTCATCTTTCACCTGGCCTCTGGGTGGGTTCCCTGAAGACCACGCAGCCAACGTCCATTTACAACACGACTACAGCAAGTCAGGGTGGTGACCTTTAGTGTCTATAAAAACTACTTCTGAATTATAATGTGGAATGGGGCACAGTGAAGGGACTTCACTGTACACAGATTTTTAGATAGAAACACACAGAATCCAGAGTTTAGAGAGGGACTTTAGACATGTCTCTAATTCAGATGGGGACACAAACTCTGATCAGTGAAGTGACTTGCCCAGTTAGTGGCAAACAACAACCTGAATCTACCCGATTCCTAATGCTCAGCTTACCTGTCTACACAAGTCTTATATTTTGCCTCCCTCATTAACCGTGCTGCCGCCCCCCATTCCACGCTCCTCTCCACGAGCCATGCAGTCACCCTTCACCACCTCCTGCCCATTAACCATGCTGCCACCCATCTCACCACCTCCCCATTAACCATGCTGATACCTACCCACCTAGCACCACCACTTTCCCATTAACCATGCTGCTACCCATCACCACCACCTTCCCCACTAAGCATGCTGTCACCCATCCCCACCTCCATCCCATTAACCACACTGCCTCCCCTGCTGTAAGCCAAACCCATAGCACAGAAAACAAACCCACAAACCTCCCCCCTTTTGTACAGATGGTCGCCACGTACCCCCTCTTGGGACTCGGACGCACTCACGTTTCCGAGCCTGAGCTTCAAACTGTGACAGGTTCTGCCGGGTGGCTGGCCTCACATTCACTTTCTCACCATTGAGAACTTTCCCTGGCAGGAGTTCCAATAATTTGTGGACAGAGTTTTCAGAGGCTACCACCACCTCAGCATACCTGAGGAAGAGAAATGCAGAATGAATGAAATCTTCGAGAGCCAAGAGTAAAGAAACAAATTCTCTCCGACTTTTACTGAAAATGGACAATGCAGAAGCAACCCTGCTACTCATAAGAACACACACGAAGCCAGATGACAAAATTATCATTTATAAAGTATCAAGGGTTCATGAGGGAGGGGGGAGCGAGTGGAAAAAATGAGGAGCTGATACCAGGGGCTTAAGTGGAGAGCAAATGTTTTGAGATTGATGAGGGCAATGAATGTACAAATGTGCTTTACACAATTGATGTTCGTAAGAATTGTGGTAAAAGTTGTATGAGCCCTAATAAAAGATTAAATAAAAAAGAACACACACAAAGCCGTGACTAAAAGTCATCAGTCTAACCTTCCTACGGATTCAAGATTAAAAGCTAGTTTTCTTTGCTCCTCCCCCGACTCTATGCATGGATTTCCCACTACATCACAGCCCCACCCCCATTCTAAGGGGGGCTTTCCCATAGGCAGGGCAGTACTTTGGCGTGTGCGCATGTGTAAACCAGGGTGGAAACATACGTCACGAGGGTAAAGGAGTGTCTGAAACCCCAGCCTCACCCTTTGGACTGGCCATTGGCTCGATTCTCAGCAAATTTCAGCTCCACCACATCATAGACCCCGACAGAGCGAATAACTTGGATCAGCTGCTGGTCTGTGGTCCACTGGGGCCGACAGGATGGAAAGGGGAAAAAATGTCAAGAGCGATAAACCACCCCTGCTCTCCGAATTTTCACCTCCCCTCTCCCTCAGACCTGGTCACAGCGGGGCCTCCCACAGGCAACCCAGAAACTGGCCCAGTCTCCATCCACACTGGCTTTTCCTCCTGGCCTCACTGAAACCAGATTCCCACCCCACCTCTTCCCCAGACCCCGGCTTTAAAAATAAGGCAGGTGGGGTCTACAAAGGGGGGCTGGCCAGCAATCCCGTTCCTGAGCTGACAGGAGGGAGGAGCCCCATCTAGAACCTCTCTCCTCCATGCACACAGCTGCTACTGTGGAGAGACCACCCCAACGTTTACGTTATAAAAGCACTTCCGCACAACAGCCACCAGCGACCCAGAGCGCACTCGGCTGGCCAGGCCTTGGGTCCCCGTCACCCACCAGAACCTCAGGACCATCTAATGGCCACCAAGAGTGCAAAGTGTTCACTTGGAAGTCTCGTCCCACAGACGACCCTGCTAGACATAAAGCCCCAGGGTCGGGGGCGGCAACAATATGGCAGAAAAAGCAACTACCCACTTAATCATTGCTTTCTTCGGCACCAGTAGGTCCTCTCATGAGAGTTCTCTTTCAGAGATCAATCCAACCTGATCCCAGGAAAAAGAAATCCGACCCCATCAGGGTTCAACACAGCGAGATGACAAGTGCTTTCTGCACAAGCCAGCACCTCCACCCCACCCCCACCCACTGGGCACCTGAGGGCCACTGCTCACCCAGGAGAAGCTGCCCACGTAGACGGCCGCTCGTCGGCTCCGCAGGCCACTGTATGTGTATAGAATCGCAGGGGTCTTGTTGTTGGGCTTGGGTGAGGGCTCCTGGCGCACCGGGGGCGGCGGCTCAGCGCTGCTGCTTCTGTCGTCTGAGGGCTGGGAAGTGGCTGTCAGCACATCATCATACAGGTCAATCTGATCTGTGTTGTTGAACTCCGGGTCCTAAGAGATGACCGGTTGGCACAGATGGGTCGGCGAACCTTTCCTTTCATTTTCCCCGTTAGCTCAGAGACAGCACAGTTCAGGTGCTTTGTAAAAACGTGTCCTTACGCAATAGATCCTGAATCTCGCCCCACTCCAGACAGAGGTTAAAAACACCACCACCACAAATCAAAACACCCCCCATCTCACTGCATCCTTTATTTATACTTGTGTGCTTGGAGCAAGAACCAAAAGGTACATATTGTTGACACAGGAAAGCTAAGAATACACGATGACATGCTGGTGCCACAGCTATCAGTGAGGCTTTCACTTACAATAGCGGTTCTCAACCTGTGGGTCACGACCCCTTTGGGGGGGGGGGGGCCGAACCACCCTTTCACAGGGGTCATCTAAGACCATCAGAAAACACATGCTCCCACTGGTCTTAGGAACCAAGACACTGCTCCTCTATCCGTCTCCAGGCAGGTCCACCCACATACGAGTATCCCGCATGAAGGATGTAACCATGCTACACCATGCTTCAAGACAAAATTTCATTTATTTATAATTAGAAATGAATAGTTCACAATATATAATTATACATTGTTTTTATGATTAATCACTGTGTTTTAATTATGTTCAATTTGTAACCATGAAAACACATCCTGCATATCAGGTATTTACATGATGACTCATAACAGTAGCATAGTGATAGTTATGAAGTAGCAACGAAAATAATTTTATGGTTGGGGGGGGGCGGTTCACCACAACATGAGGAACTGTATGAAAGGGTCGCCGCATTAGAAAGGTTGAGAACTAGTGGTTTTGAAGATCACATCCAAAATCCAGTCCCGGAGTTTACCATCTCCAAATTTAAGAGATCACAATCCCACCACCCACCACTGTAATCGTCTTCAAAACATTTTTTTAAAAAGGCAGAAAAAAGGGAGCCGGTGTGGGGATCGCCCCTGTTTCTCAGATGACTCCGCAGCACAGCACGTCTGCACAGGGCACGCAGAGGAGGCCCTCGCCAGTCTTGGAGCAAGACAGACACACAGCAGCAATGTTCTTGAAAACAGGAGGGTCAGAGAACGAGGGCCCCTCCCAGGCCGCCCGTCGCGTCACAGTGAGCACAGGGTCTGGAAGCGTGCGCTGACTTGGGGCTGTGGGGTGAAGTGTCTGCGCCAGGAAAGGGCCTCAGGGAAGCCATCTGGCGGCTCCTTGGCTCAGCTGTCTGTCCTGGACCCGACAGGGGCTCCCCACAGCAGCCCAGCTGCACTGAGAACAGGGTGCCATAAAGACAGGGTTCTCACAGGTCTCACCTTCAGCTCAGCCACCTCACTGGGAGGTGGGGAGGGGGGCACTAAGCCAGGCAGCATTGAGCCCCCTGACGGGACACCAGCTCCAACAGCCGGCTCCCCGTTCCCCATGACGGGTTCTGATTTGAGCTGAGAGACCTGCCACCAAGACTCATGCGAGCTCCTTTCAAATCTTCAGAAATGACCACATGAGGGGGCTCAAAATCAGTCCTCAAGATAATGCAGTTTCCCTCCAGGCAACTCAGACAGTGCAATGAGACTTGGGGCTAGTTCGGACCACGAGCAGCAAAGCTTCCTTCACCTGTGTCCACACTTCCTGTTGCAGGCCAGCAATTCCACATGCTGTGCAGACTCTAGAAAAGCCCACCAGAAAGGGGCCTGGCCACAGCTCTAGGGAGAGTGGTGACCTGCTCTAGTCCCAGGCATGGTGTGATGCGCGAGGGGCCTGGACAGAGAAAGGCCTTAGAAGTCCCATCGGCCTCTCCAAATGCCCAAATCCCTATAGGACGCTCCCACACCTATCCAGCTTTGCCCTCCTTTCAGAGTTTTTGAAATCGAACTTAACAATGCACCATCTTGGGTGACTGGTGCAGCAAGCTGAGGCTGCTCCTCCCCCACGGCCCGAGGCAGGGTTGTAACACAGAGACAAGTATTGGAAACTAGCAAGCAGGGATGGGAGGCTCAGAGACCCAAGCACGAGGAAATCAACCTATTTCAGAGCCCACCAGACAAAGTGAGAGACCTCAGTGGCACAAAGTGTTAAGCACTAGGCTGTGAGCCCCAAAGATCCATGGTTGGGCTCCACCAGCCACTCTGCAAGACAGAGGGGGGGTGGACTGCTGCTGAACAGATGGGCCACCTTGGAAGCCCCAAGGGGGTAGCTCTACCCTGTCCTATCATGTCTCTGGGGGTCAGGGTATGTCCGACGGCAGTGGATGGGCTTAGAAAAAGCTGCAGGCTCAATCCTGGAGGAGCCAGGGGGTATGGAAGATTTTTTGATGAACCCTAAAAGAATTTAACAATCCACAAGATTCAAAGGGTCTCCCTGAGTCCGGAAGTCTCCTGTTAGTTAAGCCCTCTGGCAGCACCGAGCTGGCGGGTGGGCAAGGTCTTCAAAGGGCATTTGGACTTAAATCCCAGAAGGGCCATAAAGTCATTTCCCTTGCTCAACTGTTAAGATGGGAAATCGCTAAGGGCCAGAGCCAGTGATGAGTTACATTAAATACACCTCCTTAGATCAATGTAACATGTTTCACTGAATGACGGACAGTGAAAGCTGTTCTAGGAAGATGAAACAAACCATCCAGAGTGAATCCACCAGGAAGAAGCCTGTGCTTGCTTAGTACCAACAGCTCCAAAAGATCATGTGGAAAAGTTCCTTGCTACTTACCAAAGAGAAGGGAACTTACGTGATTTTTAATTTAAAGATCTTCCTCATCCATCTGCTCAATGCTCCCCCTCGCTCCCCCAAATCTTCTTGGTACCTGACCCAGCAACTAGCCTAAGATTTCCCTGTGTCCAAGAGCCCTAATGAAGATCACTGTCCACCATGTTTCTGTTCAAGAAGCCCTGGTGGTGTCCTGGCTTATGTACTGGGTGAACCACAAGGTCTGCAGTTTAAAGTCACCAGCCGCTTCACGGGAGAAAGAGGAGTCTTTCTGCTCCTGTAACGCGCTCCTGCCTCGGAATCATGCAGGGGCAGTTCCACTCTGCCCTACAGGGTCACCGTGAGTCAGAACAGACTTCAGGGCAGTGAGTGTTGAGACGTTTCCCTTCACTGCAATGTAGGCTCAACTCGAGCTCTCGAGTTCCCAACTCACCTCCTTTCTCCTCGCTGCACCTGATACTCTGTATTTTGGGCCACTGTCCTCACCTCCCAGGCAGAAACCTGAGGATAGGGTGCCATTTCGTCCTTTTACCTCATAGCCCTGGCCTAGGCGGCCCAACAGAGGGGGCCGAAGACCAGGCAGGGGGCTGGGCGTATACTCAGTGGACCGGCAGCTCTAAGCCATCCAGTCCTTCCCCTCCGCCTGAGGGCAGCCAGAGGCCAGGACTCCCAGGGTCATGGAGGCAAGCTGTCTTCGAGACATGCTTCTGCAGCACCTGCGGTCAAAGACTGGGAGACAGCACCCTGGGCCTCCACCTGCAGCCCCATGTCTCTTCCCCAAGGAGTTAAGTGCATTGGGGAAGGGGGGCTTGTACTTGTGCACAGACCAGCTTAGTGTGAATCAGTACTATTCTGAATACACTTTCCAGCTCACTCGGTCTTGCCGGCCTTTGGTCCATATCTGTTTTCAATGAGTCTAGCCAGACAGCATACGTCCACAGTTGGTTTAGCTGCTTTCTGTTCACAGGAAAACCAGCTTTGCTTAAAGTGGGCTCTTCTGTGAGGATCAGAGCACCCCTTTCCCCCAGCTCCCCTGAGGCACGGAGCATTACCATTCTGTCTTCAATGGCCCAAATCCTGCCTGTTTGGAGAAAAACCACCTGTGGGCTAATGCCATCACTGGTCACTCAGTCACATAAAGGGCCTTTTCAACCAAAAAAATAACTTCAGTAGCTTCCACCCTGATAGCCAAAACCCCAAACCAAATCTCTACTGGAGCGGACAGCCTCATCTTTCTCCCTTAACCCAGCTGGTGGGCCTGAACTGCAATCTTGTGGCAAGCAGTCCAACATTGACTTGACAGTGCCACAGAACAGTGACCATTGCACCAGGCCTGCGGCTTGTCCACCGGTAACAAAACAGCATCTTCTTCAGATCTGGCCCGATCTGCGGTGGTTTTCCCAGGGGACACGTCCTCTCCCCACAGATACGGCAGGTTTTCCAACCAAAGAACCCCAGGGAGCCTTCTTTCTCTCTTGGTAACATCCAACTACCCAACCACCCAGCCTGATTCAAAGGAGCTAAAACACTCAGGAAATGTATGAAATCGTTCTCTTCTACTCAAAACTCACTGGCTTTTAAAAAATTAACACCCCCCCTCCACATACACACGTAAGATAATGAGCAGACAGTCGCATGGAGATGACATCACAAGGCACCGAGGAGACAGGGGATGCTGCTATTATTACAAAGCCCAATTAGAGAAGGTGCCCCACGGAGGGCCAAGCCCTTAGCTGTGAAGCACAAGGTCAGCAGTTGGAACCCACCAGTCACTCAATTGGAGACAGCTCAGGTTGCCTCTTCCAATAAAGAAAATTTTGGAAACCCAAAGAGGCAGCTCTACTCTGCCCTGCAGGGTCACCACGAGTTGGAATCGACTTTCTGGACATGGTGGTTTGAACCGAAGGCAATGGTGGCAGTTGCACAACACAATGGAAAAATGCCGAGAACTCGACACACAGGCAGAGGTGGAATGGCCAGTCCTTTGTTACATCCATTTTCACAATACAAAGGACAGAATGGTTAAAGCCGTGACAACAAGAGGGGCCTTACTTGAATCTCATGGCCTCTGGGCATGCTTACAATCCTGTGTTAAAAAAATCAAACCTAAGTAAAAAAATAAATAAATAATACCATACTAAGTGAAACAAGGACCAGTACCAACGCCTGCTGCCTCACACCAACCAGAAGCAGGGCCACCCAGGACATGTGCCTCCTCAAACACTTCCTTTTACCTTCTCCCCGTGTCCTTCTATGCACTCACTGGGAGAGGCCCGGGGAAGCATCAGCCCAGCCTGGTGGGATGGTGCTGAAAATGATGCAGGAGTTTCAAACAGGCTTGAAGCATTCTTGAGATGTGACCTCAAGCTGGAAGAACTGATCTGAAGGTAAGACCACTGTTTCAAGGGAGAGAAAATCTTTGTATAATGCTCTTTGATACAGAAACATTGAGACGCTAACAAACTAGTCTAGAGTCTTATGAGCGAGGCTGCCGGGTTTTTAAATCAGCGGTGTGTCCACACTCCCTCTCCCCTTGAAACAATAAGGTTCATCAGTCAAGTGTATTACACCAACACGGCCATCGCCTTCTCAAGACTGGAGTTGAGCCGCTTCTAACTCACCTATTGCTACTGAGTTGATACCCACTCACAGGGACTCTTTAGGACACAGGACAAAAGAAAACTGCTTCCTAAGATTGCTGAAGTTGTAAATCTTTACAAGAGCAGCCAGCCAGCCTCATCCTTCTCCTTCAGGGCGGCTGGTGGATCCAAACCTCAAACCTTGTGTGGTTGGCAGTCCAACTCATAATCCATTAGGCCAGCAGGGCTCCTAAGCTTATAGAAAGAAGTAAAAATGTAGAACAATGGAACAGAGGCAATGAAATGTCAGAATAGCCGTTTTCTACAGTGCCTTTACCTCACTGAAAGGGGGAGTGTGGTTTGCATTTTTCTTCAGCTGCAGGTCAAAAAAACCACCCTGGAATGCATATCAGCACAGTTCCCATGCCCCTCAGGGGCACCACGACAAACACTAACTTTGAGTTTTAAGAATGGTGTCTTGGAAAAGACTCATATCCAACTTTGGCTTCCCCAGGGAACAAGTTCCACAGGTTGAATCATCATTCCATTAAGCCTGATTTTTATTTGCTCTTAAATCCAACGATGCCTTTAGAATGAAGCCCAGAGGCTCCGATTAATAGAAAGCAGAATCGTCCACGCTGGACTCCAAGGTCCCAGCAGGGGAGGAAACTTTCAGGCCGGGGAATCAAGAAAAGTGACAAACTGAGGAGGGCTTCTCCCAGGTCCGATGTAATGAGAAGCTTCCTCCGCCCCTGCTCTCAGAATTCACCTTAAAGAACCTGCACCGGCTAACTCTATCTTTCTGCAAAGCATGTAAACCAAGGCCTGGAGCATCTTCGGAAACACTACTTATCAAAAAAGTCTACAGCTCTAACCTCCGGTTTTCCCAGCACTGATTTAGTTATCCTGCCTGAATGGTGTGATGAGTAGTAGCCTTATTGCAAACCCCACTGCAGTGAGTTGTATCCACTCGGCCATATAAAGAGGGCATCCTGTCTTTGCAATCCCTTTAGCGGATTGTCTGGGACGTGTCCCGTTCGGGTTTAGGCAAACTTTTTGGAGCGGTTTCCTGCGGTGGCCGGTAAGCGTTCATTTCCAGACACCGCCCCCCGCCCCCCACAACCTCTCAGCGGACAGGGCGTGCTCCCAGCCGAACAAATCCCCACGGCCGGCGCAGCTTGTTGTCACTCACTGCAAGCGGAGCTGTCCCCTCACCTGGTTGAACTCCTCATCCGCGTATATGTCAATCAAGTCCACTCCTTCTGACATGGCTCCGGAAGGAGGGTCTCACGCCGGGAGAACGAAGCGAAAAGATGCCACTACGATTTCCACAAAATGGCACACGTTAGGAGGCTCGAGGTGTCCAGCGCTGGGAGGAGGGCAGTAAGTGGCCATCCTCCCGGCGGCCCGAGCCGCCCCACTGGGCCCCGGCCTCGCGCCGCCCACCCCCGATCTCCCGGGCCGCCGGGGC